GGGGATTGACTCACCCAGCACGGAAGGTGCAGCACGTCACGGTGATATACTCAATACCATTTTATCCTCTCATTTTTCATTGATGGTCCCCTTCTGGGCAGACCTCTCTTTTTCTCTTTCCTTTCCTTTCATCTATTTTGACTTAGTACTGAGCTATTCACTAGCTGTGGAGTTTTTAATGCCTGCTTCCATAATGATGTGAGACTGCGCCATCATATTGATGTCCATCTTTGAATATTCCCTCCATGTGATGTTATGAGATCCCCCACCAATCGCTGACAAATTGGAAAATACATCTTTTTTTAGCTGATAGAGTGGTGATATTGATCACGAGAGTTGAGCCAGGTGATGGGGTAATAAAGTGGATGTTAGTGATCACAGGAATTGATGTGGGTTATGTAGGTGTTAGTGATCATGCGAGTTGATGGGAATTTTTAGTGATAATGGAAGTTGACCCAGGGGATAATGGGGGGGTTAGTGTATGTGGCCTAGTATGGTACGGGGGGAGGGGGGGCTGCATGCTCACTGCCCTCCCTTTCATGGACACCCAGGTGGAATGTTCCACTCTGACTCTGGGGTTAAAAAATGTTTTTTTCATGGCATCACCCTGGTTTTGACCAGCAGATAGAAATCGGCCAGTAGTTCAGTGAGCCTGTCCCTGTTCTCATTGATGCAGAATTGTCCCTGGTAATGTTTTTTTTCAAACTCTCATTAAGAATAAGGGCAATGCAGATAGCACAACATCTGTAAAATTGGCCACCAGCAGGACAATATTGATAAGCAAGACTTAACCCACATTAACCAGAGATAAAGAGCACAGGTAGAGTTTGTACTAAAAGATCTAAGATACTGCAAAGGATACAGCAGCAGAAAAGTTTTATTCAAAAATAATAAGCCTAAACAGTGTATGCCTAACTTTTATTTCTACTGTAGGGAGGGAGGGGTGCAGTTTATACTCATACAACCACAATTATATCTGCCAATAAGTGCTTAACAAACTGCAATAACATAATATAAAATGCTGCCATAGCTACGTCAAATTCAGTCACAACATTTATGCATACCTCCCAACTTTAGAATTTGTATGCGGCAGTAAGCAGACATATGTTTATTGCACTGAATATTGGGCATGGCTTAAAGGGGTGTGGTTAAAAGGTTCTGAGTCTACCCCCATTATACATTGCACATCCATACATTGCATGTGGTCCAGTGGTTGAGACCCACTAATCCATAAGCGTGTACCTTTTGTAGGGGATTCATTCTGGACACTGCTCTGGGCCACATGGTGTTCTGTCAGCAGAGGGCCCTGGTCGACCTCCTCTCTGTCACCTCCACAGCTCCTCATAGTGGAGTGTGAGCAGTGAGCTGCGTGTACATCCAAGGATCAGTCCTGAACTCTCATTTAGCTGGTACCCATACTAGGAAGCACCATCATGGGAGTTAGCAGCCAATCACCTAGACAGCTTAAACAAAAAAAGTTTTCCATGGGCAGGACAGCACGCACAACAGTGACCCTTGACTTAAATTAACCACAAAAATAAAGACAAAAGAGCCCACAATAATTAGAACAAAATAGTAAGCAGTGGTTGATTGCCCAAAGAGCTACCAATCAAAATGAAAGTGCAGTTTCCTAAATACACCTAATGTCTAACTATGCAGTCTGTCAGCTATCTCCTATTTCTGTACAGCACCTTCAAATACAATAACACTATGGCTGCTCTGTGCCCCACCTTTTAGAGTGAAAGGGGCTGCCATGTCAATGATCCCATTATCGGCCCTTTTAATCAAGCTCCCCTAACTTCAAAGGCTCTGAAAGTGCATTATGATAACAAAGAATTTCCCTGAAAATCACCATCCATTCACAGGGAATGCAAAACCTGTACACGCAGGGTTCACTCCGAACCCATATTTCATCCCGATCTCTTGTATGTGTTAGGTGTGTTTATTGAAATCACTTGTGTTTTATATAGTGGCTTGTGGGCAGCAAGATTAAGCAGAATATTCTTTTATGTATGTGTGCCATTATAGTTACATAAACTTTTATATTGGAAAGTATATTTTTCACTGATAATAAGCTCGTTATGACAATGTGACTATGATTAAGAAATGCTATATAGGATATAGTCCTGCCTTTGTCAGCTAAATACTGTACAGGGTAGCCAAGATCTGCATAAGGATTTCTGCCTATATATTCACCCCTGGAGAATTGTATACTGTAACTATTCCTGCCATATTTGACAAGACTCAGCGTGTAGCTGGATCCTTATTAACAGAACTCCCCACTGTTCGGGTCTGTAGTAGATAAGGAATTGTGCATGTATACAGTATGTCAGTTTAAGGATATAACAATAAAATACACCCTCGGCATGCATGTAACTGCATACAGCAGGCATGGCTTATGGCCAACAAGACACTTAGGGGGGCTGACCTGTAAACATTAGGAAAAAAAACCTGCTTACCATTGCAGCCCATCAGTTTTCAGTTGTTATAGTTCTTCTGCAGGGTGTAATCTAATAGGCTGGTATTGGCAGTATTTTTTTTCTATGGTTTATATAAATCTTAGTGGGCCTCTTCTATTTAAATGTCTTAGGGCCCATTAACACCAATTGCGGTGCATTCCAGAGCGGCAGCTGCTGGAACGCACAGCAATCGGTCACTAAACTTCCCCCTTTGTTCTGGGACGGGAGGGGGCGTAGTGGTGCTTTGAAGTCAATGGCATCGCAGCCAAGTCCCCCCGCCCGCAGTGCAATCAGACGCGTGGCAAAAGATTGCCTGCATTCCAGTCTACTGCGAACTGTGTTCGCAGTGGACTGGAAACTGTCTCCAACCCACAGTGTGAGCGCCTGCAGTGGAGCGCACGGTACTGCATTGCCGTGCATGCCAGTGCAAAAAAATGTGCATGCAGTTTTATTCTGAAGTAAACTTTATGTTTGTAACACTCCATTTGTGTATTTTGTTTTAAATTAAAGATGGTATTTGTTTACGTCAGAATAAAACTGCAACTTGCACGATATTCTAATTATTCGAGTTTCACCTGTATATGAAAAAGAAAATAAGTACTAAAATCTGAAATATATCTAAAAAATAACATTTCTTCTGTACTACTTCATAAATCATACAATAAGACTTAAAAAAATAAAAATAACTTAAAATAAAAAAATCTTATTGTATGATTTATCAGGTAGTACAAGTACATGAATATATTAGTAAAATGTGTATTGCATTTACACTGCATGTCACTCAACACTGTTCAGTGACATGTAATGTAAATACAATACAAATTCTTCCTAGTCCCCACTGTCTCTCCCAGTCCTCAGCATTCATGAAATGTAAAACTTGCCCGTGCCTCTCTCTCAGTCTCTATGTCCTCACTTAGGGAGCCACAGGTCCAGTTTGAATAATCTGCCTGGGTGGGAGGTGTGCTCCCACCCGGGCACAGGATTCCAAACCTGTACAGTCCGGGTGAATCCCGGACGGGTGGCAACCCTAGAAGCTGATTGGTTGTCATGGGCATGTGGTAAAGATTCTGTCTGCTACAGTTTTTATGAATTCCCCCATTGTCAGAGGTTCTCATCCTTCCCCATTCTTAGTGATCCTGTCATAAATAAGTCATTGTCGGAGACAGAATTGCTCATGTGATATGTCACCATGGAGGGATTAGAACCTCTTAAATGAAGGGCCAGACTATGTAGTCACAAAGCACTTTGATGTCTGTTATCTTTGTTTTTAGGCACTGTTGTTACCATCTCACGTCAGTGTTAAAGAAGCAAGCTACTGGAAAAGCCATCCCTAAACAGCGGTGGTGGCCTTTGACACCATCTATTACCCATGTATAATGGCATGGTAACATCTCTACCCTGGCAATTTGTCAACAATTTACACCTTTAGTCATGTAACTTGAAGAATGAACACCTGTCCCAGACTTCATGGCACCATGGTGACTGGATTATTAATATAGAACAGGGTGGTTTCACAGTCTTTCCCACCTTCCACAATGTTTTGTACAATCAACTGTCTTGATGTGACAATGTGATTGGATCAAGGTGACAGAGTGAGCCAAGTGCCTATAAATACTGGGATATGTTTCTGTCCCTCACAAGAGCTGGTGATTCCACTTGGATGGTTGGCAAAGCACCTTCAACATTGCACAACATGTCTAGTTGTATGTTACTAATAGGGATGAAGCTGGGCTTGGTGCAAACCCAGTTCCTGAGCTTACACAAGTCGCTCAAAACTCTGACCGCCACCACTAGCTCCTGACCTAATCAGTGTCGGTAGTCGTGGCAGGGGCATTTCCCGCCCCTTTGTGATGTATAGTTGTGAGGTGTCTCCCCACAACTGATTGGGTCAGAAGGGTTTTGAGCAGGCTTGGGCGAACTCAAACAAACTGGGTCCACACCAAGCCCAGCTTCATCACTACTGACCAATGAGATGCATTATTTTTTGATTTTGCACAATTCACTTTCTTCAAAACCCATCCAGAATTACAAAAACTGATTTCTGATTGGCTTCTCACAGTTACTCAGCGTTTCATTTCACTGTTTCTCTTTCAATATGCCCCTTGGCATTATATCCCATTTTTTCATGAAAACAAATATTTCCTTTAATAAACAGTATAATAAAATGTTTCAGTTTTTTTCAATGTTTTTTTTTTTTATAGTGTTTACCAAACTATCAATTATACCTATAATACCTCTTTGGATGTGTGGGTATGCCTGCTTTGGGGGGGTGGGGAGAAAGGTTTTAGGGTTTCAGTGTTATGTGTTGCTTATCTGTTATATGGAAGTATGAATGTAGAGGAAACTACATAAAACAACTGAGATGTTTTTTCAATATATGTATTATGTTAAGGGTTAGGGAATGAATTGTTATTTGTATTTGGATGATATGTGAAACTCAAAAAACTAATAAAGAATTATTTTGGAAAATAAAATGTTTCAGTTTTGATTGACCTATTTGATTCAGCATGAGCAGCATATTTCATACCAAAAAATAGCTGCGTATAGATAAATAAAAAAAGTTCATTTAAAACGTCTTTCACATTTGAGTCAGTCATGTAAACCCGATTGTTCTCAGCAGGTTGTCATCTTCTCAGGCCTTTAGAGTTTTGTTGCAGCAGGGACCAAATTGGTCACAGCAGGAGACAAAGCAGAGTTTTGTGGAAAATGCAATATGCATGCTGAGACCGTTCAGCAATTCTAGGTCATCCATATTCCAGAGGCTGCTGCTGCTGAACTCTCATCAGATGCCTCAGATTTCACTGTCATCTCAGGGAGGGAACTCACTGTTATATGTAGAACTGACGTATAGTTCTCACACTCTTGTTTTTGGTTCTACATGCATGTGAAGCAGCTGCCGGAAGTCAGTATACTGTTCTCAATAAACTGGCACGGACATGGCACATTCAGGACACCAGTGTGGCCAGCACCGTGGGCTTTTGGTAACTGCCCAGAGATGAGGAGACGCACATAGCAGGCACTTGCTATAACCAGCAGCTGCTGAGCCATTACCTGATGGGGAAAAACAACTGTTACACAAGATTTACAAACAATGATAAATCCTTAAAGCTGACGTTCAATCTGCATATATTTTGCCTTCCCTGGTTCCTCCTTTTCCCCCTCATCATAGGCTTGTGCAGCCTATTGCATTAGGGTATGCACACAAAAGTACAAGCACACGTGTGTATCTATATTTCCTGACACCAGAGCCATATCCATTCGTATGCTGCCATGTATTGGCGTCAGGAAAGGAAAATTAGAAAAAGATAAATTTTTGTTATATATGTGTATATATATAATATATATATTACATACATACACAGACCTGGGGCATCCTGGATTCCCATCTCTTCAACTGTCCCTTACCTCTTTCAGGGTGCAGTAATAAAGCAGGGAGCCTGGCGGGTGGTTAATTGACAACATGCCTGGCTTCCTGATTGGATGGGAAGCTTGGGAAGCCGCAGCCATGCTCCCCGGCAGCTCCCCAAGCACAGAGGACTGCGGCAGTTATGTGAGTAATGTAAGGGGGCAAGTGCTGCAGCGCTCTGTATTGCTAAGGTGGTCAGAGAGATCTTTGTGATCTCTCCACTGGCTCAGTAACTAAAAACATGGTGCCCACTGCAGTTTTGGCGTTGTACTCGGGGTGATCAGGGTGTGCCCACACCCTGTGTGCACACCTATACCCCCATCAACATGTAAATAACATTTTTAAATAAACCCTTTCCCGCTTTTAATAAATTCTCCAGTAGAGAAAGGTGAAGTTGCAAACTCTCTTTGTAGCACACAAGGGGAAGGACTTGGACCCATAAGTGTGACCAGCTGAAAAATATTCAGATTTAAAGTCAACATATGAATCACAGACAGATGCCTGTACCTACACCATGGCAGCCATTTTTACCCGTACAAGCATAAAGCAACATGATAGGGAATAAATACAGCTAACCAGGCTGGCATTATACTACCGTAGAGAAGCACATTTGTCAAAATGTCATGTTTAATCACCTCTTTAAAGCTACATAAGTGGGAAATTCCAGATACTCACTTCTGGTTCATCCCAGAGGATCAGTGGAATCTTCTTGCTGCACAGAACAGGCTTATGACTGGATACACTGGCGAGCAGGGGGCTCTCCTCGGTCATGTGATCTGCTGTGCCTATCTGTGCCAACATAGGGTCAGCAGGAATTTCAATTACAATAAATAACTGGTCCAAGCAATGTCTGACATCATCCTGTGTATAGAGAATACAATGTGACACCTAACAGGAAAGCTTTTAAAACAGATCAAGCTAAAGCATTGATGGTTTAGAACTGGCAAGATTGGGGATATATTTACTGGCAACATATGCAGGTAGAGGAGTGCAGGGGATATGAAATTAAGCAGTATGTGCAGGAGAGGAGCACAGAAGATAGGATACAGGGCAGTATGTGCAGGAGTGAGGTGCAGAGGATAGGATACAGGGCAGTATGTGCTGGAGTGAGGTGCAGGGAATAGGATACAGGGCAGTATGTGCAGGAGTGAGGTGCAGAGGATAGGATACAGGGCAGTATGTGCTGGAGTGAGGTGCAGGGAATAGGATACAGGGCAGTATGTGCTGGAGTGAGGTGCAGGGAATAGGATACAGGGCAGTATGTGCAGGAGTGAGGTGCAGAGGATAGGATACAGGGCAGTATGTACAAGAGAGGAGTGCAGAAGATATCGTTCTGGATGTCACAACACTTCTTAACTCTCAACCTTTCAAAAACTGAGCTCTTGATATTTCCTCCAACCCGTGCACCTTCCCCCAACATTTCGGTTGGATCGATAATCCATCCCTCCCCCCATGCCAAGGTCCTAGGTGTCATCCTTGATTCGGACCTCACCTTTCTTCCCCACATCCAATCACTATCCAAATCCTGCTGCCTTCACCTTCGTAACATCTCTAAAAAAATACGCCCTTTCCTCACCAATGAAACCGCAAAATTACTCATCCACTCACTTGTTATATCTCGTCTTGACTATTGCAACTCCCTCCTCATTGGCCTTCCACTACACAGGATATCCCCCTTCAGTCTATCATGAATGCAGCTGCTAGACTCATCCACCTGACCAACCGTTCAGTGTCTGCAACCCCCCTCTGCCAATCCCTGCACTGGCTTCCACTCGCCCAAAGGATAAAATTCTGGGCTGTTTTCTTTCACTGACCTGATGCATGCTGGCTAAGCACTGAGGAAGTCTCTGCTGACAGCCCCACAGATGGAAGTGCCGAGACAGTGTCCCCGGCCGCAACGGCTCAGCCCGGCCAGCTGAGTTTCTGCGGCTGACTACTGTTCTCCCACCACAGCGATTGTTCGTTTTAGGATTTCAGCCTTCCACACCACTGTGCTCCACCTGGCTGTATCTTCCTAGGGGCTCCACCTGACCACCTCCAGTGCTCCCAATGTCATCTCAAATGTGAGTGTTTTACAATTGCCTACTACAGTAGTAGCGCTCTCAATATACACATTGTTTCCGTTCTGTTACCACAGGATTCCTCTCCCTGTTTTTTAAAGAGCTTACACACTGTGTCCTATGTTCATTTACCTCCTCCAGCTAGTTTGTATCCCTTGGTAGTGCGCTTGTCCTTTTGTCCTTGCTTTGTTTTAGTATCTGTGCATCCCTAGTCAGAATGAGCGCTCAGCAATTGTAGTGCTACTTTAATACAGCTAATATGTAGAATAAACATTTTGGGCTGTTTTCTGCCACTGACCTGATGCATGCTGGCTAAGCACTGAGAAAGTCTCTGCTGACAGCCCCACAGATGGAAGTAGATGAAGCATAGCTGGCCAACAGCATTAAGGAAATGTTTTATATTATACCATTGCCTGTGCTGAATGTATGGAATGACACACCCTGGAATCATAAAACCAGCGAGTGTAGGAACTTACACAAATATAAAGTGAATATAAGACTATACGTTGTAACACAGCTGATAAACTCCAGAAAATAATATTTAAGAGCTGCTGGGATTTCAATGCTCGTTCACAAGTTCAAATGTACAGAGGTTTTCAAGCTCATTGGCTCTGTTAAGGCAGCTCTTACAGCAACCAGGACTCCTTCAATAGGTACCCGAAAGAGGCTCAACGTGTAAACATACAGAAAAGGGCACCAAAGCAAACAGGTAAAAGAGTCAAACATTTTTTTAATCCTTCACAATTAAATCACATTAAATATAGCCAACGCATTTCGGTGGCAACAACACTTCCCCTTCTTCAGGGCTTAGAACAATATAATGAACACTTGTAATAATTTAAAAAAGTAACACCAGAGGGATCTATGTTTGATCTGATTGAAACTCCCCCGTGGGACTGCAGATATGCCCTGTGGCCCCTGATAAAAGGGGAGTGTGGTTGCCTCTGAAACGCATTGGATATATTGTATGTGCTTGAATTGTAAAGGGATAAAAACATTTTGGACTCTTTGACTTGTTTGGTTTGGCACCCTTTTCTGTATGTCTACACCAACACCATAGAAAGCAGGCAGCTTTGTAGAAGAGGAAACAAAAATTGTACAGTTCAGAAGTTAAAAAATATATTTCTGTATGTATAACTCAAACTTTTTTTTTAAAGTTTGGATAGCATAGCCAACAACCTGACGTGCAATAGTAATGGGATGTTAAGAAATATGAGTTATACTCACATCTGGGTGAGTTTGTTGCGTCTTTGGACCGAGGTCAAGATCTTCGTTGCTGATGTCGCAGCATTTCTTACCTAATGGTAAGTTCATGTATTACCTAGTAGAGTTTGCACTCATTATACTCACCCAATTATCCATTTATTCCTGAAAGCATGCTGACACTCCGGATATCCGATCAGAAGTGCTGGCACCTCACCACACAGCACCACCTTCCTGAATTCCTCGGTCCAAAGACGCAACGAACTTACCCAGATGCAGTGGCGTAACAACCGGGGGTGCAGCAGGGGCCCGGGCCCCGGGCGAAAAGTGAAGGGGGGCGCCGGCCGAAAATGGCACTTTCGGCTAAATGCCGAAAGTGACATTTTCCTGCCGTTTTGTCGGCGCGGCCGTGATTCCTTTCATCCCCGCTGGGACACAGAGCAGTGCCCAGCAGGGATGAAAGGAATCAGAGAGAAAATGAAAGCCGGCCGAGCGCTGCGGGACGAGCGCTGTGAGCGGCCGGTGTCTTTCCTCCCAGGGGAGTGTGCTGTTGGTGAATGCAATCAGAGCAGCGGAAGGTGGGTAGAGGAGACAGTGCCTCCAAAAACACACTCTACAGGCTATACATCTCTCTGCCCAGCTCTTAGCAACCTGGGATGCTCTGGCCGGCATCCCGCCCAGCTCCTGGCAACCAGTGACATCAAAACAAGCGTTTAACCCTTGTAGTGTGGGGGTTGTACCCCTCCAGATGCCAGTTCTGTTCCCACTCAACTTTTAAAGAGTTCTTTGGATTCTGGATGCACGGCATTACAAAGAACTCAGAATAGGGTACACTGAGTGAAGCTTCTGATTTTACACTGTGACAGCATTTGCTGGATGATATTATTAGTAGGGATGCACAGATACCGATAATGGGCACTGTTTACGAGTATTCTTACTCGTGAAAATACCCCGATACTAAACGCTGATAGCGGCGCTTTACATTTTTCAAGTGAATCAGCTGCCTGAGGTTCCCAGCTTGCTGGGGACCTCGGCAGCCCTCCTATGAAATGCAGCGCCTGTTTACAGCACTGTAAAAATAGCAAAAAGTTTTCCTAGCACACTCACAAGCTAGCATGTAAAAAAACTTGTCTCACACTAAGGTTAAAAACAGAGGTTTGGATACACGTCTTCTGCAGAAAATGTGAAAGCCGCACAGCCGCGCCAAGGCACCTCTTATAGTGCGGTCCTAACTCTAAACTATCAGAGCCTCCATCTTGGAGCACATGGGGCAGAAGATAAAATTGGGTGCAGGTTTGTCAGGAGGAAACCCAACCCCAACCCAACTTTTTGCTATTTTACTGTTTAAAGCCCATTCCGTGTGCACCTTACTGTAAAGCTGGAGACCCCCCAAAGACCACCTGAGCTATACTGACATCCCGCACAGCCCTCCTATGACCCCGCAAAGCCCACCTGAGACCCTCTGCAGCCCTTCTGTGACCCCGTACGCCTATCCTAAAACCACGCACAGCCCTCCTGAGACACCGCAGGGCTCACCTGAGACCCTCCACAGCCCTCCTTAGACCCCGCACAGCCCACCTGAGACCCTGCACAGCCCTCTTGAAACCTTGGAGACATCAGGCTGCCACCCAAGAGCAACACAGAGTATGTAGCTTCATATTATTCTGCATTGCTGTATAATTTATTGCTGAGATTTGTACTCCTCTATAGCTGGTGATATTCTGCATTGCTGTATAATGTATTGCTGAGATTTGTAGTCACTCTACAACTTGGAGTCAGCAGCAGAACTACCAGGGTTACAGCGGCTTCAGCTGCGACTGGGCCCTGGCGCTCCACCACTGTCCTAAAATCATTAGTCTGTGTTTTAGAAAAACTGTCACATGACTCTTTCATTGGTCAATGTGGCAACACCATTATGCATAATGAGAAAAGCCTTCATGTCAAACAACAGCATCGGTACAAATTTACCCAATTTATAGGAAATTGTTAAAGATTTCAGAGTTTAGAAAATGGATCAATATCTTATTTACCTAAGTTTTTACTGTCTAATGAACCCCTTGCTGTGATGGTCCCCTTGTGACATACATTATTTTTTATCAGCTTCAATATGAAAACAATCTGAAATGTATGTCAATGCAATCTGCTTATATGATCTAGGGTAGAGGGGAATAAGAGAGCCTAGGAGCCACAAAGTAAGAAAGTGAACACTTAGGGGACAATTTATTAAAGAAGTCCGGGGGAAAACTTTTATTAACCCTTGTAGTGGGGCTAACCTTGTTCTAGGTGCTTAAAAAAAACTTATACTCACCTGAACTGCTGAGCCGACTCCCATCCTTACCGGTCACTGAACCCTGTCTACTCCTATGCTGCACAGATGTAATGTTCCTCAGCGCTGACTGGAGGAAAGGACGTGGAAGGGGGCAGGTACAGCTGGCTCTGCCTCTAGATAAGCAGAGTCCGCTGTCACTCACACAGCTGGGTGGATCTCGACAGTAATATCGGGATCCATCCCGGCTGCGGCGGTCTCAGTATACTGCAAGCTGTAGCTCACAATATACTGAGCTTTGGGTCACAGGAGGACGCTAGTTTATGGAAAAACAGTTACCCATAGTTCTCTTTTAAGGAGAGCAGATATTGATACCCTATATAACGTTTCATACATAAAATGCAGGTCACGGGGTGCAGCATGTGGTTGACAGAGTTCTCTTTGCTTAAAGGAGAACTATGGGGTTAGGGCTTTTCTCCATAGTTCTCCTTAGGGTAACGGGAGGACACAAACTAGCATCCTCCCGTCACCCTAAGCTCAGTATACCACGAGCTACAGCATGAGTGACAGCTGGCTCTGCCTATGTAGAGGCATAGCCAGCTGTACCTGCCCCCTCCCCCGTCTGTTCCGCCAGTCAGCGCTGGAGGATCAGAGCGGGGAATGCAGCTATTCCCCTGTCACGGAGCTGTGACAGGATCGAGAAGTGAGCGAACGCCGGTATGTGTTCGCTCACCTCCCGATCTATTGAGCCGATGTGTGACAGTCTCATTGTCACAGGTCGGCTAGAACTATGAGGTGAGTGAAAAGCACTCATCTCATAGTTCTCCTTTAATGCAACTGAGAAAAAGCTGAAAAGCCATGTCACGTGAGCAAGCTCTTCTCCCAATTATTTCTCCCACTCACTTTCATTTTAATAGCACTCCACACATTGCTTTGCTTTATCAATGTACCAGTTTTTTTTGTTGTTTTTTTTAACAGCAATGCTTTTCAAATAGACTCTTTATTGTTTTGATGCACACTGACTTTGCTTACATACCTTTCATTGAAACAACAGTTGGGCTTTAATGTATGCAGAACGCACTCTGCATACATGGCTGCAGTGTTTGCTGGGCAGCAGTAGCAGCTCACAGACTGATTTATTTTGTGGCCAGGAATTATTATTATTATATAGGATTTATATAGCGCCAATAGTTTGCACAGCACTTTGCAATATAAGGAAGACAAGCAAGACGGTAAAGAGGGACCTGCCCGTGAGAGCATACAATCAAAAATAACTCTTATGGAGCAGAGGCTTGCTAAGAAACTCAATATTAAAAATCATTTTTCTAGAGAACAGCAGGTCAGTACAATGAATCAGGGCATGTCACATTTGTACAGTAAGTACCTAAAGAGCATATTCCTAGGAAGATTAAATTCCTATTTCAGTTGTTGAGAGGATTTAATCAAATGGGTGACTCATATGGCCTAATAAAAAAAAAAAAAAATACTGCACTAAGACCAAAGTCTGAAATCTTGGTAGAGCCCGGTAATTCTTTTATTATCCCATAAGTGCAAATATTTGATAGAAGTATCTGAAAAAAAGTAAATTGGACTGCTAAACTCTTTATTACCACCACCCGGTATAGAAAGTTTTATGATACATAATACACAATCAGAGTTGAGGCAATATTTTATAAAATAGTAAACAATGACTTTCTAGTCTGGGTTAATCGAATAAAGGAGAGGATTGAAGGCCGAGTAACACAAATTAAAGTAGAACTGCAACCAAAACTTTTTTAAGAGTAATGGATGTTTATAACACCTGTCAGATTTTTTTTTGCCATCTGTGTCCCACTGGAGTGATTTCCCTTTACTTCCAGTCCCAAAGCCCCAACAGGAAGTGAGAGAAAATCCCTCCAAAGTGAGTGAAATTCCCGGTGGTCTACAGGGTCCCCAGAACTAGTGTCCTCATTGGTAAATATCCCCTCTATTCCTGTTCAATAACAATCCAAAATTTGCGATTTTGTTACACTTTCAGTGATCACATTCATTAGGACCAATGCAGAGGATGAATCTTCCTAACAGGAGTACAAACAGCAATGAAAACCTGACAGGTGTTCTGATCCCCCTCCACTCTATTGAAAACTAGAGAAAAAGTTTTAACTTCAGTTGCAATTTAACACAGTAGTTTTTGTTTTATTAAGGGACCCCTGAGCGTAGTTTTATTACCTGTTGATACTCAGTGGTGGACCTAAAGAACAAAGGGCCCAGGTGAAAAATTTGTTCTTGCATAGGCGCACCCAACGTGTGTTTGTATGTGCGTGTACATGGGGCAGAGGGATTTCACTTTTTGAAAAAAATGTTATGATATGTCACTTTAATGTCTTAAACTGTTTTTTTTCCCACCTTGCCATACCATAGATAGCTAACAAGCCCCCTATGTGATACCATAAAGGTAGTGAAAGGTCCTCTTTATGGCGACCTCTATGTTACCTCTGGTTCCCGTTGAAGCTGACAAAGCAATGATCGTGATTCACCAATGCCACAGGAATGACAGCCTGGAACCGGATGTGATTAAATCATCGTTCCTTCCAGGTCACAAGGCACATCAGCAAAGGGGGTGGGGTTGTCACCTCCTTAGGCCTGTCTATGTGATAGGGCAACGGCTCTACATCCACCTAGATGACTGGTATGAGAAAGTCAACATTAGACTGCAAAGAACAATACCAAGATCATGGCTGCTGCTGCAGCTGTCATCTTGTTTTAACCACTTCAGCACCATGTACATATATGTATGTACAGTGGTCCTAAAGTGGTTAAAGCCCATTTAAAGCTACAAGTCCATTTAAGACTAACCTAGCTACAGGGTGACAATGTTGCTGTGTAATTTCACTTCAGAATGAACAGTGTTGTCACTCTATTACATGCACATGTGAAAAAAAAGAATCTACCTACGAGTTTCATAGGTACTAAAAATGTTACCAGGGCAAGGGGGGTTGTGTTGGCAGAAAAAAAAAAAATCTGCATAAATTACATAACAGTGCCTTTGGTGTAGTACGGTTTTAACTCCTTTTTAAATATATTTGTTCTTTTTTCTTTATCTTCACCTAGTGATCCTGTCATTAGCACACTTTCTGTCCTAGGGTGTAAACTTTCACTCTGCTGTATCTATGGAGGACCAGTGTTCTTACCCTAGAACAGGAAGTGTGTGACTACAGCCCCCCATCTTCATAACATAGGGGAAGGAGTTCTGTAGTCTACAGAGGGAACCAGGAAGGCTAATAAGAAGGCTTGAAATAACACTGCAGTGGGCAGAGGACAGCGCTGGATTTATGGCAGGAGCAACAAAACACTCCTAATGGTATATTTAACAGACTGAAAGGGAACAAATAAGAGAAGTTCATTGTTATGGTTTGCATTCACTTAAAACTGCTGTGTGTGTGGACAGCATAAGAGAAGGGAGATTCCTTCATTAATAGGAAACCAACCTCTATAACCACAATCAGCCTGTCTATGAATATTCAGGGAAGGCTATGTATATTTTAAGGAAGTCAACAATGCAAACATAAGGCATCAACAGGAAACCTATCAAATAAAAACAGATACACAATATATTGTCTGCTTCTTTACAGACTGTGTATAGGAAAAGGCAAAGTTGTGATTTTATTATCAATCTACATGAGAAGACAACATGTATTCTTTGGTGTAAAGGATACTGATGGGCCATTTCGACAGCTCTGAGATCGGTCGCTTATCCCCAGCAGAACATTGTATTTCATGAAGGACTCGTTGGCTGCTGCCAGCATTATGTCAGTGTTGGTATTTATCTATCATGATGGACAGATAATTACAACTAGAATAAGTGACAAAAAACTGAAAATACTAAATCCATGGATTCTACTCACCTTTCTTTGTTGCCGATTGAGGATTATGATGACCACGGCTGTGACAATGACAGCTGTTAGAGTGACAGGGATACTGGTGACCCAGCTATGGCCACCGGTAAACATCTGTACGGTGGAGTAGAGATTGACCCAAATGGAGATATACAAGATCTGGAAGGTTACAAAAGTGTGAATGTAAGAGAGCTCATATCAAGTAATTCTTTCTTCCATTGCATTATCTTTTTACAATAAGCACTAATTGCACTGGAAACGAAATAGCCAATGTTTCCCACCCTCTAAATTCACCAATTACCAGAACTAGGTTGCATGCAGATTTCATTTGGGTATACATTGCTGCCACTCAACAGGACTAGGGACCCGAAAGCCATCAACCCCTGCAGCTGAAGCTGCAGAAAACAAGATTCCTCCATTGATGTAAATAAATAACAATGTCTTCTTGGCCAAAGAACTTCTGCTCGCTGGATGTTTCCTGCACCTTCTCAGTAAACTCTGGAGACTATAATGTTTAAAGATCGCAGGAGGTCAGCAATTTCTGAAATGCTGTAACCAACACATCTGACATCTACTCATTCCACTATCTGGTTGAAAAACAATGACCATGCCTGCATGCTTTGTGTACTGTGCTGCAGGCACTTTATTTGCCTTTGGGCTGGTTTTGGACTACTTACTTTAAAAGGGTGATGTACCTAATACAGTGTTCACTGGATATAAGATTACATTGACATATACAGTATTTCAGAACAAGGCGTTTGATGGAAACAAAATATGGCTGTAAACAATTGATGATGCTAGGAAATGCAGGCATGATTAAAACTTGGAACTATTATTTTCTAAATTACTTTTCTGGTAAAGTGTATCTAAACTTAAAGATGTAACATATTGCAGCTTGCTAGTCATTCAATATCCTGAGAATAACTCACTTCCTGTCCCTGGGTAGTTACATTCACTCCTCCACTGTATCTATGGAGGGAGCCATGGTTGCCATGAAGGCTGGACTGCAAACAAGTCTGACTATATTCATCTCCATTACATGGGGGACAGGGAGACTAGTAATTTACAAAACCAAGATAAAAAAATGTTTTTGCTTTCAGTTCAGCTCACAGCAAGTGACAAAGACAGTGCATTGTTTTAGCAAGACCAACAGGTATTTTCTATATTCACCTAAAATGTTCTTAGCCTAAAAAGTGTACACGAATGCAGCCACCACATCTAAGGACTGGTTACCTGCAACATGTTACATTTTTGGTTATGGATTTAGTTATCCTTTAACCTACACTATATTGCCAAAAGTATTGGGACACCCCTCCAAATCATTGGATTCAGGTGTTCCATGAAATTTCCTTATTCAACGGTCAACTGTTAGTGGTATTATAACAAAGTGGAAGCAACTGTGAGCAACAGCAACTCAGCCACGAAGTGGTAGGCCACGTAAAATGACAGAGCGGGGTCAGCGCATGCTGAAGCGCACAATGCACAGAAGTCGCCAACTGTCTGCAGAGTCAATAGACCTCCAAACTTCAGATTGGCACAACAACAGAGCTTCATGGAATGGGTTTCCATGGCCGAGCAGCTGCATCCAAGCCTTACATCACCAAGTGCAATGCAAAGCGTCGGATGCAGTGGTGTAAAGCACGCCACCACTGGACTATAGAGAAGTGGAGATGTGTTCTCTGAAGTGACGAATCATGCTTCTCTGTCTGGCAATCCAATGGATGTGTCTGGGTTGGCGGTTGCCAGGAGAACTGTACTTGCCTGACTGCCTTGTGCCAAGTTTGGTGGAGGGGGGATTATGGTGTGGGGTTGTTTCTCAGGGGTTGGGCTTGGCCCCTTGGTTCCAGTGAAGGGAACTCTTAAGGCATCAGCATACCAAGACATTTTGGACAATTTCATGCTCCCAACTTTGTGGAAAGAGTTTGGGGATGGCCTCTTCCTGTTCCAACATGACTGCGCACCAGTGCACAAAGCAAGGTCCATAAAGACATGGATGAGCGAGTTTGGGGTGGAAGAACTTGATTGGCCTGCACAGACCTCAACCCGATAGAACACCTTCGGGATGAATTAGAGCGGAGACTGCGAGCCCGGCCTTCTCGTCCAACATCAATACCTGACCTCACAAATGTGCTTCTGGAAGAATGGTCAAACATTCCCATACACACACTCTTAAACCTTGTGGACGCCTTCCCAGATAAGTTGAAGCTGTTAAGCTGCAAAGGGTGGGCCAACTCAATATTGAACCCTACGGACTAAGACTGGGATGCCATTAAAGTTCATGTGCGTGTAGGGGCAGGCATCCCAATACTTTTCGCAATATAGTGTACATGCAGTACTTGGATGACCCAAGCATGCTTGCCATGCCTATTTTTCAGAAAGAGGGGGGGGGAGGCACTTCAACCATTAGGAGTTACTCCAGGGAACCAATAATAAAAAAACAATCTCAAATAAATAATAGTTCTTAGAATTATATGCTGCAGGTGTCTGTATCTGTCTGCTGCTATCTTTAGAAAAGCAATCAGCAGGATGGCAGGGTGATAACTCATATCTTCTGCTTCATTAGGGTAGAAATGTTGCATGTTGTCAGAATAACACATATTACATGCTCACCAGGGCCAGAATTATTCCAAAACCTCGAGAGCTGAAGAAAATGTATCTGTGGACCTCTGGGATGAGTGCAGGGATCTGTAGAGAGTGTCTGCATTGTTCCGCAGGGAGCTGAAAAAGGAGAAGATGGTCATGACAGGACTCATCACAAACTATTGAGTTTTTTCACTATGGTAGAGCACAGAGCTATCAGAAGTCGTCTCTTAATTGCCTCAACTACTGCTCTGGCTTGGATAAGATGCTCTTCATAACATATAACCACCAGTTGTCACGCTCACATTGCTTCATAACCCTTGTGATGCATGAGATCAGGCTTAGATGCACTTTAAGATTCTGGGCAGGTCGCACAGTGAAGACCTGAGGACCCTAGATAAGTATGATCTATTATGAAATGTTAGGGAAAGGGGTGCAATAAAGGATAAGTGCACTAAAAGTGTAGTTATCTTTTAATACATTTTCATAAGCTGTTTATCCAGAGTGACAGCAATAAACCTACTTCTGTTAAGGCCTCACTTCATGAGCCTAGGAAGACTACCACCATGTGTGTAGAAACACCTACATTTGTTTATTATTAGGGATATGCTCGATGTTCGAGTCGAGAAAGAGTTCGACTCAAACATCGGCAGTTTGTGTGTTTGACAAACACACTATCAGTGCGTTCGGCGGGCGAACGCCCCACAACGCACTGCACACTGCACAGTGCCTTGTGAAGCCCTGATTGGTTAAAACCTTACAACTGAACACAGGGCAGGTACAAGACTTTGCCCAATCAGGGCGCAGTACTCTGTAAGAGCCATGATTGGGCAAAGTAATGATGACTTTGCCCAATCATGGCTCCCCTGTCAGGTGACGTACAAATGTAAACATTTGGGCAGAGCTAGCTGTAACCTCTAGCCCTGCCCAATTGTCTATATGTTGCCGGCATCTGTCAGAACGCCATTCTGCGGCAGGAGTTCATCGCAAGTGGACCGGTCGGCAGGCCGTGGCTTTTTTTTTTTCTATTTATTTTTCTTGTTTTATTTTTTATTTAGCCGAGACGTTGTTGTCGTGGACAATGCTGGATGTCGTGATTGATCCTGGATTATGTTGGTGGATCGATTTTTTAGGGTTTTGTTTTTTTTTAAATAAAAGACTTGACAAAAACATGTCTTGTTGTTTTTTTTTCAATTAAAGGATTTTTTCAAACGTCTGGCCTCTTTTTTAAAACTTTAATTAAACCCTTTAGTGAATGGGTAGGGGTACAAGTACCCCTTACTCATTCACAAGGGGTTACTTTATTGAAGGGGTACCCTGATGTGAATAAGCCCCCTGCCCGCACCCCCACAACCATCGACTCAGGGCTTGTGGAGAAGAGGCCCTTGTCCCCATCGGCACAGAGACAAGGTGCTTTTCCAGGGGCAACCCTGGAAAAGCACCCTCCCGGTGCCGAGGGCATGTGGCCTGGTATGACTGCCCTGCCAGGCCTGTGCTCGGATCAAAGGTCTGGTATAGAATTTTAGTGGTGACCCCACGTTTTTTTCCCCCCATTTTGGAGAGCCACGGTTGCCTACCCCTGACCTAGATGAAAACAAGTAGTTAACCCTTGCAGTGCATGTTGCCTGGAGTTTTGCTATAAGTTTAACTGCATTCCATGCATAATCTGTTAATTATCGTGCCTCATAACAATGCCTCAGGCTGACAACATGTTAGACGTCAAATGGCTGCACTGGCCAGTCCTGTGACAGCGCTATAGCAGACAGAAGTTGATTGAATTGAAATAGTTGATAGAAAAAATGGGGGTAAATCTGACCAGTGTATGGCCAGCTTAAACTTCAGTCTTGCACAGATGTACAGGCTCCTCTTCTGTACTGAAATTGCTTACTCTAATTTCACCGCACACAGCCTCTGTGTGAGAAGAGGACACCCTACATAGTCATGGCTTTGATAAAATACATAAAATGAGCATGCAACTATGCTCAGCATGAAGTAAGCCTGCAGGCAACGTAGTCGCATGTTACAGGAAGAAAGGGAAACTGGCAGGATCCACGGTTATTTCTCACTGTTACATATATATTGTTACAAAACAATATTCGCTAGATGTATAAAGAATAACATAAGAAAAGCTTAGCATGTCAAGAAGAATTTTTGGAGTTTGCAGACACTTTAAATTGATATAGTTACATATGTAGCTACATAGTTAGTCAGGTTGAAAAAAGACACAAGTCCATTGAGTTCAACCTATAGAGATTTAAGTCACTTTCATGAAAACAAGATAGAAACATAAGAACATCAACAAAATATTCCCCTACAGTTTTCCATGCGGACCACTAATCACCTGTATACCGCAGTCCTGGAGGCGTTGCAGGCATTGCTCAGTGCGTTCAACTCCTGGTGTGCAAGGCAGAACAGTCAATAATCGTCCGTTGTATAAACCTGCACAAAGGAAAGGTCAGAGCTTTAGCTTGTCCAGGTTGCCGGGCAAGATTTGGAAATTAGACCCTCCTGTGAAGTTTAATAAGAACTAGTAGGTAATATTGATTACAATTGCTTGGGTTATTCGCAAGATGTTTCTTCAGCCTTAAGGTGCCTATACACTGCACGATTCTCGTACGAGAATCGTGCAGTGTATGGAAGGCGTGCGACCGTTTCTACTGTACGGTCGCACGTCTTCCGTCGAACCAGCAGGCTAGAAAACCCGCCAGGAATCGTACGATTCTCGGCGAGTTAAGGTGCCCATACACTTTACAACCCTCGCAAGACTTTTGTCTTGCGAGGGTTGTAAAGTACTTCAAAAAACGTACGATCTGCCCATCTTGGACAGGCAGATCGTACTTGCGATCATCGCAAGCCCGCCCCCCTGAGGGGCGGGCTTACGATGACTGTAATGAGGGCCGGGCTTACGATGACTG